TTTTTTTTTTTTTTTTTTTTTTCAGAACCTGGGATTTAATTCAGGCCCTTGCGCTTGCCAGGCAAGTGTTTACTCCACTGAGCTAACTCCCTGGCCCAATCATGACACTTCTCAAAATATCTCTTGGTTGTTTCATGTCTTACTGTGAGGAAAAGCCAAAGTTTAAAAGTGCTTAGGGTGCCTTGAAGATCTAATTACCCATTCCAAATCCTGCAATCATAGTTTTCTAAATCTATCCCAGGTCCTTTCTCTTCAATCTGTCCAACTCACCCACATGGGATTCTTCCTCTGCTTCTTCAGATCTCTGTCCACTAAGGGGCATTGGAACCTGCTCAGCCTCCTATTCTCAATGTCATTTCTGAAGATACTTCCATATTTTGTACTTTTGTATTCTATTTCCAGGTCTTTCCTCAAATACCTTGTTATCATGGAATAAACCTTCCATGGCTTCCCTGTTTTCATTCTAACAACACCTTTATACTCTTATGAAACCTACTTTTCTATCTTTCTTTTACACTGGATTATAAATTAAATGAGGGCAAGAACTTTAACACTGTCCTATGTATCTTAGGTGCCTGGAACCTGAGAGGTACTCAATTCATTCTGTTAAAAAATAATGAATAAAGGGCCAACCAGATAGCTCAGTGGACTAAAGTGCCTGCTTCAGCAGAGTGCAGCGGCCAGTTTGATCCCCAGCATGCTGTGCTGCCCTGCCCCTGGGGTGCGCTGAGATGAAGATTGGGACTGGGTGTGGTGGTGCACACCTGTAATCCCAGTTCTTGGGAGGCCGAACACAGGAGAATCACTACGAGTCTGATCTGTGTAGTGAAACCCTGTCCTAAATACATAAAAAAGAAAAAAAAATAAGTGAATTTATAGTTTTTAAATTACAAGTATTTATTGTACTAGTATTTATAAGTTAGGTCTTACATACCACCGTCTATTGACCATATGCTAAATGGGGTAACATGTTAAATAAATCAAAACTCTCATGGCGCTAGTTTTCACTGCATGAAAACTCGTGGTATAACCTGTTAACTACAGAGGAAAAAGAGCTATGGAGGAAGAGCAGTGGAAGAAGAACCGAGCAGAGCACTGGGATCAGGGCAGAAGGGGTGGAAGAAGAAAAAGGAAACCTTTCACTTATGTCTATGTTTAAACTAAGATCTGAAGGATGAGGGAGAGCTCGTGGAGTTTTCTGAGGCACATAAGACATTCTCTACAAGTAGCAGAACATGTGGAAGTCTGGAAGTATTGTATATTATCAGTAGGAGCAGAAAGAAAAGACATAAAGACTGGATTAATATAGCCAGAGGACTGCTAAGCCCAGTCTCATTTTAAGTCCTGAGCCACAGAAACTTCTTACACTTATTGAGGGCTAAAAGCAGGCCTAAGGAATGTGCATAACTAACTCTGTGAATACAAATTACTATCTCCATTACCTTCCAGTATTGACCAAAGTCTAAGTTCATACGATGCTAGCTTACCACATCTCAAACAGAAGATCAAAGGGCACCTCCAGGAACTGCTGGTATTTGTGGCCTTGTATCCCAGCTTGCCCGAATTTAGAAGATACAATGGTTTGTCTTGAGCTCTGTTTCTTTCTCTTTGCACCCTCTCTCCTCATAGCTTTACCCTGGAGGTAGGAAATAATCTCCTCTTCATGAGGTCTTTGAGAAGTCAGGAAAGCTTTGAAGCATGAGCTTTGAAGCACTCACTGACTGGTTCTGATTAAATAATTTATTTGATCATATATATGTTTTTTGTTATTATTATTATTATTATTATTATTATTAGTATTATTTTGGTGGAACCAGGGATTGAACTCAGGCCCTTGTGCTTGCCAGGGAAGCACTTATTCCACTGAGCCATCTCCCCTTCCCTATACATATGTTTTAAGATGATGTAAGTAGCAGAAGAATAAGTGAAAAGAGGTTGAATCTGATAAAATAACTTAAGAAAAAGTCTAAAAGAACATAGAGTAGGATGATAGAGAAAAGGGAACAGAAAAGAGAAACATCCCAAAAACTACACTGACATGAGTGAGGTGGGAAAAATATATGAATCAAGTAAAATGAAACACACTGGAAAGAGAAGAAGCCAAACACTGGGAAGGAGAAAGCAGCCCAAGGTCATCTGAAGGACACATTTGTACATTGCTGGCCACCGGAAACAAGAAGAGGTGGCTCCTGCCTGTGATCCCAGATCAGGGGAGGCTGAGACAGTAGGATCACTATGAATCTGAGCTGCACAGTGAGACCCCATACTGAATGAATAAATGAATAGTTTTATTTAAAGGTTATAATAACTAAAACAATATTAAATACTTTCATGAGTTTTAAACTTAAAAACTAGTTAAACTAGACCTTTAAACAAAACTGTAAGTCGGCTTCCATATTCATAAATTGATAGACTATAATGTAAAGGCCAAGAGAATATTATCAGAAGCCAGGTAATTGTAGTAATTCTATGACTATTGAATCAAAAATAGATCAATATTTCTTGTTAAGGTGATGATATTTTGCTGATTCTTTTCAATCAATCTTCTTTTACTTGTATGTCATTCAACTCTCAAAGAATAATGAAGTTTTTTTTTTTTTTTTTTTTCAATACCAGGGATTGAACTCAATCCTGCACTTGCCAGGCAAGTGCCTATTCTGCTGAGCTATCTCCCTGGCCCCAAATTTTTTTACTTACTGCATAAATTAAACTTTTATTTACTTTTACTACCAGATATTATTTCTGCTCTGCATTTTAAAGTAATAATTTTATAATCAGTGATAATTTTAATATTCTCATGATTTTGCAAAATTTTAGGAATAGTGAATGTAGATAATTTTTATTAATGCCTATTGTTCTTATTTATTACAGTGGTAAATTCAGGCATATTTTGCCATCCTGTCTAACAATCTTTAATAAAGTATATTTATCAGTTTTCCTTTTGAAAATGGCATTAAAGCTTTGTTTGTTATAACTGAATATTTGTATTATTGGCATATGACTATCATCTGAGTAACACCTTTTCAATATTTAGGAAAGATTAGCAGAAGAAATTGAAAAGCTGAGATCAGAACTTGACCAACTGAAAATGAGAACTGGCTCTTTAATTGAACCCACAATATCAAGGTAAGATCCAATTAAAAGCTTTTCTATACAGAGTTCACTGAAAAAAATATGTATTTCCCTTTGGTTTCATATCTCCTCAGTGAATAAGTATGTCCTATTGCTCAACATTCATCACTATAATTTGGCTTTTGCAGATTTAATTTCTATATGTAAAAATAAATTTCTAATTTAAAAATCTTTGTTGCAGATATTCAAGCAACTTTAATACCATTTGTATTCATCACTTACTTATATAAAATATATATTTAAATACTCCCAGATAACCTAGTTTAGCAGTGTATAAGAAGATGGCATTTCCTTCCAGGAAGAAGCTTCAGCATTTCTAAGTGCGTGCAGTGCAGAGGCCCAGTGCTTCCTATCGTAAATGCTGCTGGCTGTGACAATATAGCATCTCTGCCTTTCACAGTAACGTAAATTAAGATGGAAGGTGTAGCTGTGTGCATAAAAATGCATTTGAAGGGCTGGTGAGATAGCTCAGTGGACCAAGCACTTGCTTAGGCAAGCTCAGGGACCAGACTTCCATCCCAGGTACCACAGGCTGCACTGGCCCCACCCCGACCACTCTGAGCCAGCCACTGAGACTAGGCGTGGCAGTGCACACCTGTAATCCCAGCGCTGGGGAGGCTGAAAATGGGAGGATCACTGCAAGTCCGAGCTGTGTAGTGAGACCCTATACAAAATACATAAAAAAGAAAAACTGCATTCAATTAAATTTAACCATGTTCACCTATTTTAACTCACTGCTTCACTGAATAAGAAATGACTGCTTACTTGATGGGTAAATATAAAGTTGGATAGACTGGTGCATATAGTAATAACTCATATAGTTTTCTTTTGTGCTAAGGCCTTGCACTGAAATTTGATAAAAATCCTTAAGAGGATTGTTTTTCATTTGATCTTGTATTTACTGGGAAATATGAAATAGTGCCTACTATTTAAAACTGACCATCCAGCTTCTAGAAGGAATCTGTTTTTCTTGGTATTGTGTTTATTTTAGGAATATTAACTCAACAAGAGCAAAAATGTATGGTAATATTAATAACTTCTATATTTTCAGCACATAAAATATTATGTGGCTTGTAGTATGATTTCAGTAAATATTCCTGAATGTATGAATGAATGAATGAATGAATGAGTAGCAACACATTTTTCAGGTGATGTGATAAAAACCCAAATTTAAGAAATTGTAGCTGATCTTATGCTCTTTTTCAATGTAAGTATAAAGATAAACAATATTCATTATCTGAGTACTTCTTCACTTCAGTATCAGAATTACAGTTCTGCAGGCTTACAGACATCCAAAGAATTTCCAAATATATAAATCATTAATATAGAAAATCATGTTTATTTTTAAAATTCTGACCACATATGTGAACTGAAATTGTTAATTCAGCCATATCTGTTCATATGCAAAAGTGCTGATGGAGATGGTGATAGAGGAAAAGAGCTGCTGAACTAGCAAAGGAGTAAGCGTGGAAAAACAATCACCATCCAGCCAACACATGGGGTTTCCTACTGGGAGCCACCAAGGGTTTTTCTCGGCTTTTGGATGTTAGGTTTCAGAAACACAAAATTGCAGAAACATGGAAAAGTCCATCAGCACGCTGTGGAGTCGTCATGCAATCTAACAGGGTGGTGTGTCTCCACAACAAAAGAACACTGAAAGCATGCAGAACGTTTCTTCGTGAATAGAGCAGAGGGCAATGGAAAGAAGAGATGGCCAAGAATAAGGTGGACCATATTCTCAGATGTCAGATGGTTAATACATTTAAAAAAAGAAAAAATGCATTCAATTAAATTTAACCATGCTCACCTATTCTATCTCACTACTTCATTGAATAAGAAATGACTGCTTACTTGATAAGTAAATACAATGTTGGATAGACTGTTGCATATCGTGATAGCTCATATAGTTTTCTTTTGTACTAAGGCCTTGTACTTAAATTTGATAAAAATCCTTAAAAGAATTGCTTTTCATTTGATCTTGCATTTACTGATCTTGTATTTGATCTCTCAAGCTGGCGAAAGCCATTTTTTCATTAAGATTATAATAATATATATTTAAAACAAATATATAAAATTAGTATTTTCTGATTACTTCACTGGTGCTGCCAATAAAATGAGACAAGTGAGCAGAGGAGATTTAGAAAGCAAGTCAGTCTGGCTTGCTAGAAAGTTGAGCAAAGCAAAACAGGGACATTAGAAAGGCTCAGTCTAGAGAGGGCTTTGAAGGGACACTGAAGAGTTTTTACAGGTTTTAAAGAGCCAGTTCTTCACTTTCCTCCTTGTTTTCAGGAAAGGATCAAGAACTGAAAGATAAAACAATATTAAAAAATACTCCTAAGAAAGTGAGTTATATTATTAGAAACTCCTCTCTGATGACCAAAGGGATAAGAGCATAATTAGCCTGGCACAGGTGAAAGAGATCTAGACCGTTCAAGACGTCTAGAGTGGAAGTTAATTTGAAACAACATTATAATTTTATTCATTAATTATCCTGCTAGATATTTATTAAGTATTTATTTTGTGCGTGGGCGCCTCCCTGATTTTTGTCCTCATGAAAACCTGATCTTTGTTTTCATGAAACTTAGTGCTTCCTCTGAATAATTAAAAACTGAGAGTTGCAATGTTTCTAAGTATACCCTGGCTACTTCTTTTTTTTTTTTGAAATATATGACTTACCCTGTCAAACAGCAGTTTCCAAAAGCCTCAAGTTTATTGTTATAAAAATAATAACTGCCATCAATTTGCCTGATGATTTCTCAGTTGGTTTGCTCTAATTACCCCCAAACACAAAAGGGTCGAGAATCAGCTAAGTGTCTCCCACCACTGAAAACATCCAGCCTTCCCTTACTTTTTTTTTTTTTTTAAAAAAAAAAAAACTTGACAAATATTCAGCTATGCTTGTCTTTGTTCATCACGGGAACAATGGGACAGAGTATAGTCAATCAGCAGGAGCCCCAATTTCAGCAGAAAACACAGCTTCAAGTATATTTTCTATTGATGATGGTTCTGTTATTTCATTTTAGAGGACAGCATGAAGTTACTGTTATTACCACCATCATTATTGTCACAATGAATCCATAGGAAAATAATGTGCCTGAACAAGCCTACTCTACACTTTGATTACAGTGCACTTTATTACCATGTTTATTGAAAACCAGTGTGATGATATTTTCCAAAAGAAATTTTCCAACTATTTCATCTCTGAGGAAATTACAGAATCAAACATGCTTACCAAAAGATCTTTCTTTCATTATTTTTGTAACAATAGCTTAACAAAATCTAAAAAAAAAAAAAAGGTTTCTGTGCAGTTACTATTTTATTTTAAATATAAAATTATTAATCTTATAGCAATACAATTTTAAGCATGTTGTTTCCCTGAGTTGAAAAAGAACATTCTAATATAGAAACTGTGTTAAATAATTTCAATATTGCCAGTTGGTAAGGTTTTGGGATGCTAAGATTTATGCATTTTCCAGCTAAAGGGAAACATTTAAAATAAATATAATAGCGGGACGGCCAAATAGCTCAGCGGATTAAAGCACCTGCAAGCACTGAGCTGGCAATTGTAACTGGGCGTGGTGATGCACACCTATAATCCCAGCTCTTGGGAAGCTGTAAACAGGCAGATCACTATCAGTCTGATCTAGTAGTGAGACCTTGAACACCCTATAGAGCCTTCCCTAAAATACATAAATACATAAATAAATAAATAAATAAATAAATAAATAAATGGGAAATATTGAGATGACCACTGATGAATACAACTAATTAGAGTTGCCTGAATTTAATACCATGATTCTTGGCTATCAATCCAAACCTATATCATTGCCCTGTGTGTTTGAAAATGCTAATAAACAGGAAGGTTAAAGCATATTCTAATGGAAGAAAAGGCACTAAACTTTTGGCAATAAACTTGAGAGGCGAATTTCTAGTGTACCAGAAGTTTCAGAAAAGACCTTAATTAGCAAAACAACTAATGCATTTTCTTTTTTGATGCTTATTTCCTTGAGGGTTTCTCCCCTATTGTCAGTTAAGGAACAGAGGGAAATTTGCTGGTAAGTCCAATTTTTAAGATTAGATATAGTTTGTATTTTTCATTTTTCCAGAACTCATCTAGACACTTCAGCTGAGCTGCGGTACTCGGTGGGCTCGCTAGTGGACAGCCAGTCTGACTACAGAACAACAAAAGTGATAAGGAGACCAAGGAGAGGCCGCATGGGTGTGAGAAGAGATGAGCCAAAGGTCAATAATTTAATTCAACTGTGATAATTTTAATGAAATACTTGATTTTGGGGGCTAGGGAAATAGTCCAGTGGTCTAAGCGCCTGCCTGACAAGCAAAAGGACCTGAGTTTGATCCCTGATACTTCATTTTGTGCCAGCCACTGAACCCCAGGTGTGCCATACTGGCCCAGAATTGCTGAGTCTGAACTGCATAGTGAGACCCTGCATCAAAATGTATAAATGTATTGATATGATAAGACCCTGTATCAAATATGCATATATATATATAATATTTTGTTAGAGCCTATATGAGTTTTGAGGAGATGATTCCTAAGTTATTTGTTATAATAATTGTTGTCTCAGATTTAAATAAGAAAAATGTAGTTAAGACTAGTATAAGAAAAGCAGATACTTGAGTACAATTACAGAGAGATTGCCATATTTACAAAAAAGAGAGAACTCTTGTAAATATAGATGCTTTAAAATAATCATTGTAATTATTGAACTATAAAACATATGGAAATATATAATCTCTATTCCTATTTAAAGTAAATATAAATGCTAACAATTAATAGCTCCTATTACATAATGTGCCAAAGAATTATTTTACACAATAAGTAAACTAAAATGTTAATAATTGATTCTGCTTTTGCTAGGTCACTTGTAAAAGCATTCATGCTTTTTATAATTGCTATTATTATTTTATAAATTAGTGATTTAAAAATAAGCAGTATGATAAACACTCTGCATTGTTCATTTGTCATTCAGGTGAAGTCCCTGGGGGATCATGAGTGGAACAGAACTCAACAAATTGGAGTCCTCAGTAGCCACCACTTTGAAAGTGACACTGAAATGTCTGATATTGATGATGATGACAGAGAAACAATTTTTAGCTCCATGGATCTTCTCTCTCCAAGTGGTCACTCTGATGCCCAGACCCTAGCCATGATGCTTCAGGAGCAGTTGGATGCTATCAACAAAGAAATAAGGTGAGTTTCATTAGTACTGATGGGTCAGGAAATCATAGGGGAAAAATGGGATTGATTCTCAGATCAGAAGCGCTGCAGAAAGCCAGGCTTCACCCACAGCCAGGGAACAAGAATGTGCATTTTCACAGGAGTCCTGCTGCTAGGAATGATATAGGGCCTCTGATTTATCCACATAATGAAAAACTCTAACTCCAACCTATGAGAGGTCCAACATGCCAAGTTCATCTTCTGCAGAATCAAAGAATGAGTTCTATGGAAAAACAGAGGTTAAGAGCAAGAATACATTTTGAGTAAAGAAAACTTCTGTCTGAGAAAGACAGAAGTGGACCTGAAAAGTGGGTTGCCTCCAATGCTATTTCTCAGAGGAATGTATGTAGATCAAAATCACAAGGTTGGTATAAGGTGGGACAAAACTATGATCAACTCATTAGATAAAAAATATAGTAGCTTAGGTAATATCTATCTGATGGGGAAGCAAGTCAAGTAGCAAGTGTGATAGGAAAGAAGAACAAGGGCCTTGCCCAGAAGGGCTGAGTCAGGGGCTCCTGGGCCCCACCCGGTACTGATGCTTGTTTAGAATTTCAATCACTATATCCCTAGGGGAAGTATGTATGTGTAGTCATTTCATCTCCCGTGGAGGTCTGGAATTCAATAAATTTGTACCACCCACACTCAGAAGGTATCTTCTGCTCTGACTCCTTCAGTAAGCTAACCCTGGCTGACTGTAATACTCTTATCTGCTTAGCTGTCTGTGATACCACGATATCCACATTTCTCTCTTGTAAATTTCAGATAGCCCTTTGGCAAACATGCGATGTATATGCAGACAAATGACATGGGGGCAGTATAAAATATGATAAAGCTAAATTTTTCTTCAGGGAATTTTAGAGTACTTTTTACATTAAAATTTACTATTAAGTGGAAGTGAGTTGTGGTATTAAGTTACATTCTTCAGACAGCTATCATATTTCATGAGAAGTACTTAATAGTATACAAATTACAGTACATTTAGTACATTACAGTAAATTTAGTTATTTACATATTGGTGTGGAATATATTTTATTTTATTTTGTTATTTATTTTTGTGACTAGGAATTGAACCTATGGTGTTCATAGTGAGCTATA